GGGGCTACTCCGGCCGCAGGCACACAGCGGGAAGAGGAGTTCACCAAAAGCGGTTTCCAGTGGATGCCAGAAACCACCTTAAAAAAAGTGTTGAGACACCGTGAGTGCTCACCGGCCTTGCTCTGCCCTCCCACGGTAGTCAAACAAATAGCTGGGCTCTGGGAAATTGAACCAGGAAGGCCCAGCACCCTGACCCAGCCATCTCTGGGACTGATCCCCAAAACGTCTTTACTTAATCAGAAAACAAGTTTATATGTCTTTGGAATTCAAACAAAAGAACTACAAAAACAAAAACAAAAACACCCCAAAAAACAGAAACACCCCCCCCAAAAAACAGAAAACAAAAAAACCCCAAACAAAACAACAAAAAAAGAAGCTTCAACCAAAGTTGGGTTTGCGAATCGTGCCACTAAAAAGACCACGGGAAAAACAAGGCACACGTTCCGTAAGACACGGAGCTTGGGGCTCAAGGCAAATGGAGCAGGAAAGATGCCCAGCACCGTCCTGCTTCTGTGCTTTGCTTATAAATTTCCACAGAAAAAGATCTTTCTCCTCCCAACAAATCATTAAAGCAAGTGCAAAACAAACAAAAGCCGAACATCCCGGGTGAGTCAGTAACACAGGGAACGCTCACAGTAGGCCCATCTTCCGCGCTAGGAACGGAAAGCTCCGGCAGAACGCGTCTTGGAAGAGCAGCAGCTCCTCACGCTAAGCTGGGCTCCCGTCTTCCAACACACTGACCTACTTGTCGGACTTTCAACTACAGTACGACCTCTGCTTGCGCTCCTGCGCCCCTGAGAGGGGCCAGGGGCTGGCCCTGGGGCGCCCGGGAGGGCTCACCGTCCTAAGGCGGGAGGGGATTCAAGACCACATCCCGGACAGGACCAACTCGGCGAGGGTCAAGTGCTCACCGGGAAGCTCCCGCGCCTTACCTGAATATCGGCGTCGGACACTCCAAAATCCAGATTTGACACCAGCAGTTTCCCACCAGTCTCCACGCCTGCGCCACCCCCAAAGCCGCTGTCGAAAAGGTCATGCTGCCACTTGTCAGGAAGTTGCTTCGGCTGCAGAAGGAGGAGCACACGAGAGCAGACCCAGGCCCGTGAGGGTCTCTTCGGGACTCCCCCTCGCCCTCACAGCCAACGCCCTCCCCGCCGGGCCGGGAGGGGAACGCAGAGCCGGGTAGCGCGCCCCTTCCCGCCCACGCCGCGACAGGCCGCCGCCGACCCAGCGGGACCCCACGGTCCCGCAGCTGCTCCGTTGCCTCCAACCAACTTCCCGCCGCCCGCGCGGCCGCGCCCAACGTGCCCCCGGCCG